TCGCCTTCAAAGCGCAGACACCACGGTCACGTTTGCCTGCATACCCTGAACGGTATGTCGCGTAGGGCCAGCATTTCCACCTATCTCTTGTCACATTCAATCTCCACAGGCAGTGGCGTTTGCGCGTAGTAACGCTCGGGGTGCGCCCCCCCCCCCCTTACCAAATTTATGTCATGTCATAACATGTACGCGACTGAATATGAACAGCAAACATTCCAGAAAATGATATCGAGAACAGGCGACGATATTTTACGGCACCCACGAAATCGTGCATACCTATGGCTCGCTAAACTCGGTTTTTAGCAGAATGTTTTTTTTGCGCCCCTCGTTCCATTGTAAGAATTCTGCGTACCCCGCTGTCCACAGGACTCAGTGCTCTGGTCATCGCTCTTCACGGACTCGACGGCTAAACACAGATCGGGCCTGGTGCGGTCCAACCTGGGGACCTCCCGACGCTCGTCCGTCTTTGGACACCAGCTAGAGAACCTCCGTCAGCTCGGGTACGGAGACGGAGCGGGTGCAGAGAGACGGCGGGTGCAGAGACGCGGGGGTGCAGAGCGCGGGAGGTGCAAAGACGCAGGGGGAGCAGATACACAGAAGGTGCAGATACGGAGGGGGCACATAGGCACCAGACGTATAGAGGTGGCGGGTGCAGAGGCAGTGGGTGCAGAGACAACGGATGCGGAGAGACAGCGGGTGTAGAGATGCATCTGATGCAGAGACAGCGGGTGCAGAGACACAGAGGATGCAAAGACAGCGGGTGGAGGGACACAGCGGATGCAGAGACAGCAGGTGCAGAGACACAAAGGATGCAAAGACAGCGGGTGTAGAGACACAGGGGATGCAGAGACAGCGGGCGCAGAGACACAGGGGATGCAAAGACGAAGGTGATGTTTGGCGAATATTTTGATTGGACAACTAGATTTAGCTTCGCTTACTAGATTAATTTAGCTTGTGGGTATTATTATGACTTATCAAAAAACGTACCAGGTCCATAACAACCCATAAACATTCTCATCTGCTCTAAGGGGCGTCTTGAACTCAGTAACTGGAGCTCGCTGTTGAATTCAAACACAAAGGCTTTAACGCACAGCCCCAGTGTGATCGTGACCTGCCGCGTATGCGCCTCCTCAAAACGTCCTCCGTCCTTTCAGCCACAACAATCAAACCAACTCGGGTCTGGAGGACCGCCTGAGCGAAATGTTCCGGAGCTCGGAGCGTCCGGATGCCGTCAACGTCACCCGGTTCCTCGAGGTCGGTCATGAGCGCAGTGACTGCCACTAAACCGCCCGGTCGTTCAACCGACGGCCCAACGCTCTGTGTGACTTTAGACGTGCGCGCATCACGCTTTGAAATGGCTGAAAAAGGTTGATTTAGGCGTGCGCGCAGGCGTTGGCAGCTGCGTTCCTCTGTGGCGTTGATGCGTTCAGCGAGTGAGGAGTGAGCGCGAACTGAATGTTTTGCCTCCCTAGATAATCCTATCACTCACATCTAGCGTGATATTGACACTCTATTGATACTAGGGTCCGGTTCGCGAAATGATCCGCGTCGCTGGGAGGCTTACAGCGCTGGTCGCAGCGGACTAAGTGGCTCGCCTTGTGAACAACTACATCAATTGCGCGTCTCATTAACCAAACAATGTCAACAGAGCATGTTTGATTGGTGAATCAAGCGCGATGAATCTATCCCGGGTCGTTACTTGGACTGGAGCAGCAGTTTGTCAGTGTTTGATTATGTCACTTGGTGCATGAAGACCAAGTTATCAAGCGCTCCGCATCCTCAATGTTGCGCTTGTTTTGACAGTGGCGCCACTGATAAGAAGCTTAGCAAGATCAATACCAAGCGATAGCCTGGGTCTGATAGAATGTACCTAATCCGGTGGCATAAAAGTAGCCTAACGTTCTGATACGTTTAAGTGATCGGATGTTTTAAGGCAGATTGACCAAGGTGAATCTGACCTGGCGACAGCACAACACTGAACTGACGACCTGCGGCCCCGGTGAGATGAACGCATAGCTGTGACCTATGACCTGCCCTCATGATGTGGCAGTGCATCAAACCAAACTTATGACTTCGTCACGATCTTGATGTTTCTACGTGGTGACCCTGACTGAACGACTGAGCTTCCATGATATTACGATTACGTAGTTCTGACCTAATAAAGTGGTAGCGCGGTTCACTGAACTGATGCGCGGCTGGCTTCGATCTGATGGCATGGAAGTTTTCGTCTAATGACTTGGTAGTTCCTCCCGACACCAGGTGATCTTGTGACCATAATCTAGAGATATAAGACAACTGACCTGACTATATGACCCTATAGTTCTGGCCTGCTGACGTGGTGTTCCTGACCTGACGGCCTTCTGTCCGGAAACCTGGCGACCTGTTCACTTGGTGACCTTTTGATCTAGTGAACCAGGGGTGGTTCAGGCGGTCAGGTCAGCACGTCAGGACTTGCCGTAGTGACCTGACGGCCTGATGACCAGCTACTGACCTGATGATGACCCGTCACTTGACGGCCTGCTGACCAGGTGCCCCCCCCCCCTGCTGAGGTGCGGTTGACCCGCTGACCTCAGGCCCCTGGCCGTGACGGGCCTCCGGCCGACCGACCCCCGCCTGGCCGAGGTCAAGAGGGCGGTGGTGAATCTGCACTCGGGACGCCACCAGGAGGCCACCTTCTGGACTAAAGATGGCATCTGCATCGATGAGGACGTGTTCAAAGGGTGAGTTACCTCTCACGCGACCGCACCAGTCGGCACCGGAGGCCGACGTCCAGTACGGACGGTGGTTACGGACAGGGGTATAGTTTCCCTATTCAATAAAAGCTCCATTCCCCGCTCCCCTCCCCCCCCCCCCCCCCCCCCTCCTCCCTGGGCCCCAGCCATTACACCAACTTTGAGAAGAAAATGGGCCTAATCAGGAGATAAATCCGCCTGTTGTATTTTGGGCTAGGTTTCGCCATTTTGCACTGTTCAGCCCCACCCCAATCTATTTTGTGCAAATACGCCCCCGGTTACATAATTGATTGTAAATCGAGTAATGATATCGATCACATATCCAGTGGACCAAACGCCTACAAATGGGACCTGACAACGGTGGTGTCCATGTATCTGCACGGATTATGCTCGATAAATTAACCTGCGCCACTGGCGGGGCGAAATTGCGTTATTTTGGCACGTAGAAATGGTTATTACGTCAGGCAACTTGAGACCGCAATTAGTTTGTCATGCAATAGAAACGCATGCTTTGCTTAAATATACGCATCACACTTATTATGCACACTGGCTAAAAATCTAGCATAAATGGACGCAGCAGAACCGCCTAAATTGCTAAAACAGGAAGGGGTTATGAGCAGCCATTTGGAACGCGTGCGTGGCTGTTTACTAATGAGACATAACCAAGATTGCTTGTCAGCTGAACATAGAATTGTCAGATCGCCGAGAAAGCTGTCTTTTGTACGCAAGCCATGCTAAAGGACGCGGGAACGGGGGGGGGGGGGCGCAGTGGGGGCAGGGAGCCCCACCCCAGCTTGAGAGCTGGGGGAGGGCGGTTTCCCTCCCCGAACTTGGAGGCCCTGTGGATGACTCATTTTGGTATGTTGAGAGCCGGTTCTGAATTGCTAAGGGATCATATAAGCCTGTAAACGTCCATTCTGATCTATCGAGGACCCATTCTAACCTATGTAGGATCCGTTCTGACCAAAAGAGGGCCGTTCTGAGCCTGCACAGGCCCATTCTGATCTGCAGACGGTCCATCATTGAATGGAGGACCCATTCTGGCCCGTAGAGGGCGCATTCTGACCTTTGTAGAGCCATCCTAGCCTAACGAGGGCTGGTCAGGCCTGCAGAGTCAGCGAGGTGCTTTCCTTAATGATGGCTCCAACTCGCAATAAAATGATGAGTCCCGCTCCTAGCAGAACATGCTTCTTCCCACTCCTAGCGTTCCCAATGGTCAATGAAAATACTTCAGACTATCATGCAGGATGATAAAACCGAAAGCAGATCACGCATCACGTGTTTTCCGTGCCGGTCGTGCCATTGGTAAGAATTGCTGGCTTGCTCACAAGGTAGTCTCAGGTTGACGGCACCTTAGACCACGACGCGGCCATCACCGTCAAGCATCGTTTCGAGAGTGCATCATCCTCTTGTCAGCGGCGATCAGCTGGCGCGTATGTTACAGGCTCATCTTCTCCAACCTCGACGTCATCAGCAGGGCGCTGACAGGCAGCTCCACCATCCCCTGCTTCGAGGAATTCTGCGACGCCGTCCAGGACATCTACAACATCTGCGCTCTCGAAACGGGTGGACAGGTGCGTACCGGGGCTTCTGCATACTCTCGCGTGGGCTTGGACCTTGAGTCGGACTTGCTTAGGCTGAGGTCGCGCACATATGCGAAGGTCTTGCGGTGAGTAGTCAGAATTTCGCCATGTGATGATGATAATTCGGATTTTGAGCAGCACCTCGGCTCCTATGGCTCTTTCGCGTAAACTTTATCATCGGCCGTAGGCGTATTATAAGATATTGAACGTCGCAATTCCCGTTCATGCAATCGGAAACAAGACAGTCTTACCTTAAAACGGCCTTTTCAATAACAACAAATGCACGATATTGGTAAAATTGGTATCGCTGGAATGAAGTTGACACTTTGCCAGAACGCTAAGATATAAATGTTATATAACAAAAACGCTTGCCGACGATGAGACGGGTGCCAGTTTCCTGCCCGGTTACAATTACTAGAGATGGCGTGCTCTTGCAGCGTAAGATTCCAACAGGCTTACACCAGAAACTTCGATTTCATTTCAAGAGGCGTACATCAGAGAGTGGGCGATTTCGCAGGAGTTTGGTCAAGCTTTTCTAGAAACCTTGAAACCCCCGAAGAAAATTTTGACTGCGTGCCTGCCTCTGAGCCGCAGTGCTAACACCCGCCGCGCGACCCCCCAGGTGGCGTCCTACATCCCTCAGCTGGCCCGGTTCTCGCCGTCCCTCTGGGGCGTCTCCATCTGCACGGTGGACGGGCAGCGGTTCTCCACGGGGGACGTGCACGTGCCGTTCACCCTCCAGTCCGCTTTCAAACCCATTAGCTACGCCCTGGCGTGTGGCGAGATGGGCTCAGACTACGTGCACAGGTCAGACCAGGTCAGGTCAGGTCAGGTCACCATGCCCAGGTCAGTTGACCATGCCCTGTGTCGGAATGCGCTTCACAGTGTCACGGGATGTGTCGGAATGCGCTTCACGGTGTCATGGGATGTGTCATGGCATACATGCTCGATGTCCACATTTTCTGTCATGTGCGTACGATCGGTATCAGCATGTGTGCTGCGGAGGGGTGAAAGACGAGTTTGTTCAGTATTGTAGCTTTGCATGAACCAAATGAAACACTAGACCTCTTCTCCCCGCCCTCCCCCCCCCCCGCAGCCTGATGAAACTCAGTGACACCAGCCGTGCATCCGAGTGCTTTGCTTGATTTATTTAAGAATGATTCTTTCACCCGGTCAAGACAATGCTATTCGCTTTTCTTCAATGAGGCATTCAGTGCGTCGGGTCATTGAATGATTTTTGGGTCGTTGAGTGATTTTAATTGTCTCCCGCCGGTTGCCACTGGGGGGGGGGGGGGGGGAGGGGGCACTCAAACCTTAGGCCCGCAGTCAGCCTAAGAGCTCGGAATGTTTTGCAAACTTGTACCCCATGCACTCACCTCACTCCTGTCAAAGGGATTACAGATGGGGCTATGAATGAACGCCCACAAAAATGTGCACAACCTTCTGTTGAAAAGTGTGCCCCCGCAATCCAAGTTGTGAAGAGGAACCCCGTGGTAAAAGTGCGTAAAAAGGTGTAAAAAGTGCGTAAAAAGTGCAGAAAAGGATCGGGAGCCCACACAGGGTGGAGCTAGAATATCGTTTGATTCGGTTCTATAAATTTGTTCCGAAGTTGAAGGGACAAATCCTACCCTCTGTCAAAGTTGGTGGATCTGTTCTCATCCCTACCCGCTTGTATTACTCGTCCAAGTGGTCATCGGTTTGGACGCATTGAAAATGCGTTAGCATTTTTGAGAAATCTGAAAGCATTGGAAAAGGTTCGATTTTTGTATGTGGTTTTCTTGTGCACGACTTTCTCGCCCATGTTTTTCTCGGATGCTTGAGTTGTAGCCGACTTCAGTAACTACCAAAATGATGTGTTGCGCACTTGTGTCTAGTTGATTTGGGTCTATTACGTCTGTCCCGAGAACTCAGCTGGTTTTGCTCCAGCCTTCCAGCCACCTACCCGTGGCGGGTTGGCTGTAAGGTGTCGGTGTGAGTTACACTATACGTTCGCTATTTGCTCTTCGCATCGGCCTGTTCACACGTGGCAGCGGCCGCAACCGCGCGAAAGGTCAGGAAACGTCAGAGGGCTGGACAAGCCGTAGTGAGCATAGAGGTACATTGACATTTCGTCACCAGCTAATGCCGTTGACTTGAAATATCATGATCGCATGGTAGGGGTAAGCCAGGCTTGGACCAAATTTTAGGACAAAATTTCATTGGGACTGGATGTATCTCCTATGAGCCTGCCTTTGAAGTCTTGGTGGTCATGCAAAAAAAGATAAGCAGCTGGACATAGCTGGAACCAGTTTACCTCAACCTCTAGCCTGACCACATAGGGAGACAGCTAATGATACAACTCAGGTGAATCTTGCACTTGCCCGGATCCGGCACAGATGCTTGCCCATAGCATGCAGAAAACTGCAGCTGAGCTCTCGGCTGCCTGCAATAACATGTTGGCGCGTTAGGTCGTAACAGGATCAACGGTTTCTTGCAAAAAGTGCGCTAGGGCTATGTGAGGTCCGTAACTAATTTCTTTTTTCTTTCCTGGATTGGCCCGGGGCGTAAGGTGGAAATTCCGTCGAAATAGAGAAAACCAATAACGAGGACTTCACGAGTTTGAAAATTTCTTCCTTTTTGGCTCACCTTTGTTACTACTTTTGCGGTGCGTCTCCCCAACTTCGGAGTGCTGCAGAAGCGCCCGCTCAGAGCTCTCGCCTCACATGGAGGTATGACGTACCGGGGTACTCATAAGAGGAATAACACATTCGCGAGTCTTCAGACAGACAATCTTATTATTGATCCGCGTCAAGGTCGTGGTGGGCCTGATGTCAGTCAGACGAACTTAAACAAAAATTAACATTATTTCTTCTTTGAAAAAACTGAAAGGAATATTACCTTCCCCAGACGTTTGGAGCTTACCATCAGTGGCTACCACGGACATTGATGAAGCCAGGTTGAAGCCGCTTTTGTAATGGCTACGTTTAAGGCGAACGCTTTTCATTGACTGGTGTTGTATGCATGCAGCGCGCTAGCCCAATCTGCAGCAAGGCATTACTGATAGTTGAGTTAGGCTATTTTGTCCATCAGTTTCCTCCGCCTAGTTTTAAATGATGCAGCGGCGAAAATCTAAGCAAACCTCAATTGTCCGTTTTGACAAGGTTAATGACACGTGATGCATTTGACTTGACAGTGCTTACACACAGTGATCATATCCCTGTTTCACTGTATTACTTTCTCCGCTAGTGTAACCATAGCGATGTTAGAAAAATAATGAAAATTGTAGCGAAACTTCAATGGACAAGAGAAGCGCTTAACGACTCGGCGGAGCATTGATGTCGCTGCGGCTCACCATACGTATTCAAGTAATAACATAATGCTACGTTGCCCATAAGCCTAGCCCAGATATGCACGGAAATGTAAAGAAACGATTAAAATCAGGGTGGTCCAAACCACCGCCGAAGAATCGCTGCCCCGGTTGACGTTACACCAATCACAGAGCGTTTGCAGTGGCGAGAGGGTTGATAGCGGCTGACAGGTCTTCAGGTGGGTTGGCCGCTGACAGGGGCCCGACTGGCCCAGCTGGGATCAGCTGGTCGTCATTAACTCATTCAGGGTTCCAGAATTGGCGTTAGTTTCGGCCGTCGAGCGAAACATGTAGTTGACGTGTTTAAAATGTCATCAACTTGATTTAGAAGATCCCAACAGCGGAGCCAATTTCCTGACGCCTTGCCAGCCTGCGCAGTATCCAAGAGATTGTTTAGATAGCACCCGCTACCATGTAAAATTAGTAAACTTGTAAAAATGGCATCAGTAATCGTGGCAGCCATAACGAATAACGAAGATAAGCAAATGGTTGCTTTATTCTCTCTATTCGTTGTGTTCGCGCCAATCTGAAGACTCCCCCCCTACATCTAGCAATTTTCCAGTCGGATATTAGCTGATGTATGTATGTTTCAATCACACGTAAAAGTTAACGCGTGATTAAAACATTCAAAAACAAGACATCTGCAACCCATTCAGCGCCTGTGCGAATCCGCAATCGTGGTTGAATGTTGTACGCAGTGGATTTATGCACTTATACACCCAAAAGCCCGGCCGAAATCCTTGCTTATGTATTTTTCAGCATTTCGCATCCTCCCTACAGCCGGCTAGCCTGACATTTGGTGACTGACCGGCGAAAACCAGCCTCGCTGGCAACAAGTTAAGGTAGTAGTTAGTCTTATTTTCACTTCCGTATGCAAGTTGTCAATATTGACGTGATGTTTAGTACCAGTGCTTTCAAAACTAGCCGGAAATATACCATTTTTGGGAAAAGAACTTCCAAACGGGAGTCCATCATATAATACGAAGGCTCGAATTTGTCTTCGGTGTGTTTTATCGCTGCGCTGGCCGTCAGCAGCAAAGCCGCAAGACAAACTGATCACACGCCTTCACCTCAGGTTCGTGGGACAAGAGCCAAGTGGTCGCAGCTTCAACGAGATTGTCCTTGACAACTGTCTGAAGCCGCATAATCCCATGATCAACTCCGGAGCCATCATGACGTCATCTCTGATCAAGGTTTGCACTAATCGCTGGTGTCTAGCGCACGCGGATGGGGGGGGGGGGGGATCTTTTGCTTGTATTGGACCTAAAGCAATCAACTTTGTATGCCCGGAGGATACGCTATCCTTGAGTGCTGTAAAGATGTCGTATGGGCGTTATCTGGTAGAGCTCTGAAGCGTCTAGTAGATAATTATCTGTCACACAAAGTATTTATTAGGATGAGGTTGACACAGGCAATGATATGGCCCAAAATAGGCTAAGTTTTTAGCACGATGGTTATGACAGTTAGAATTAAGCTTGTTTTGGCATCAATGTTTGTTGTGCATAATATGGCCAGTAGCCCAATCCTGGAACCCCCATCTGGGGCCTGGGGCTGTCTTCAGCAAACTCGTAACAGCGACAGTAACCGCCAGACAGACATGCGCTTGACTTCTAAAAACGGGTCCAAGGAGCCGGGATTTACTGCCCGGGACCCGAATCCCATCAGCCAGGATTTTGTTGTGGTGTTCGGGCGCATGCGCACCACCAGACCTCTACGACTCGAGCGCTTCAATAAAACACGGCTGTCCTAAGCCGCGCCCAGTCGCTTTGGCTAGCCCCGGACTTGCGCAACTAAGAGCGAAATAACTCCTAAAGTCAACGACGCGGACGCCCACACAACACTCGCGTTCGAGCCCCGTCTTAATTTTTAGAACGATTTAAACAATGTGGACCCTGACCTTGGTCTATGGGCGCTATTGTGACAACCGCAGTCGCTGACATACCATGAGAGCGTGTGTGGCGACGAGCACCGCACATCTTTTGAGCGACCGAGTCGTCTTGGCGCGTACCCTAGGCGCTCTTTTTCGCATCGTAGCCCCAATGGCCCCTGCCGGACCGCTTCGACTTCGCCTTCACCAAGTTCCGGAATTTGGCGGGCGGGGAGCACGTGGGGTTCAACAACGCCGTGTTCCTGTCGGAGAGACAGGCGGCCGACCGCAACTTCGCCCTGGCCTACTTCATGCGCGAGAACGACTGCTTCCCCACCGCCTGCAGCATGGAAGATACTCTGGACTTCTACTTCCAGGTCAGCGGGGGCAGGAGGGGGCGGGGGAGGGGGGGGGGGGGGTGCTGGATGGGCAGAGGAGCCAGGAGGCGAAGGGACCGAAAGAGACCGGTAGGTGCCCGGGATGTCCAGAGCGTCGGTTGAGGAAGCGAGGACGGGGAGAAGAGGTAACGTAAACAACCTGATAGATGCCTTGGTATTTCATGTCGTTGCAGCAGGTAGTGCGTACGACTTAAACATTGATGCCCAGCCCTTGGGAATTTGAAAGCACCGTGAACTTTTGCCTTTCATGCGTGCCTTTCATATCGTGTACCATTACCTAACGGTCTCAAGTTTCGTTATCTACTTCGATATATACAACCATGTTTATGTGACCGGGCCAACAAGAGAAATCCCCGGCCTTAGACAGATCAACGACTGTACTGTAAAACTCGACCAACCACGCTGATTGTCAACAGAGTGAGAAGTGGGAGGAGCTTACTCAGGAAAGTGCCCACTCCAATGCGGCAATTGATTGGATCCTGTTATACTCTCGAGTCTATTTCAGACTGGCCATTGCCGCGTATCGGCAGCCCCGATGAATGCTGCTGACTACCGGTGCGGTTTGGCAAGCATTGCGCACTGCTGTCAGCTGTGCTCAGTGTCAGCGGCTCCGCTAGTTGAAGTTGACTACTGTTACACTTTGCTTCCTTTAACTAGCGCTAGCGCTACTGGCCGCCACGCACTGTCGAAAGCTTTCCTGACCACCGCTCACCGCCGCCAGCTCTGCTGACCAACGCTCACTGTCGCCAGCTCTGATGACCACCCTCCGCTGTCGCCTGCTCTGCTAACCGTCCGTCACTGTCGGCAGCTCTGATGACCATCTTTCACTGTTGCCAGCTCTGCTGACCATACTTCACTGTCGCCAGTTCTGCTGACCGTCCTTCACTGTCGCCAGTTCCGCTAACCGTCCTTTACTGTCACCAGTTCTGTCGATCGTCCGTCACAGTCGCTAACTCTGCTGACCGTCCTTCACTGTCACCAACTCTGCCGGCAGTCCGTCACTGTCGTCATCTCTGCTGACCGTCCTTCACTGTCGGCAGCTGTGCTCGCTGGAGGCCACCTGTGAGTCGGCGGCGGTGATGGCCGCCACGCTGGCCAACGGCGGTATCTGCCCGCTTACCGAGGAGCCGGTGCTGGACCCGGCGGCGGTTCGCAACACACTCTGCCTCATGTTCAGCTGCGGCATGTACGACTACAGCGGTCAGTTCGCATTCAAGGTGAGACCGCAGCGGACCACTCGTCCTTGAACTGATGTCACAGTAGGCAGTTCGAGTTCAAGGTGAGACAGCTCGTCTCCCATGTGAGATTGCGACCGTCAGGCGACGGTCAGTTGACCTTCAAGGTGAGACCACATCGGCCAGCTTGTCCCTAAAGTAGTGCTACACTGGACAGCTCGAGTTCAAGGTAAGGCTACAGAGGGCATTTCGCTTTCAGAGCGACAATGCAGCACTGCAGGCAATACAGGCATACGGGCAATACAGACGGCACGGACATTTCGCTTTCGGAATGATGCTGCAGCAACGGGGATTTCGTTTCGATTGGTCATCAGAGCAGACATCTGAGGCGAGATCTCAGCGGAAAGTCTGCCTTCCAGATTACAGTGTACAATTCATGTTCTAGGCGAAAGTACAGTGGAAAGTGTGTGTTCTTGGTGAGACTACAACTAATGCCCCGCCGCTGACGTGAGATTATAGCGGATAGCTGGCCTTCACACTTCAATGACCGTTGATCTGTCCACGCAGACCCCCGGTTACCAGCAGTATCCTCTGATGTTTATTGGAGGCCTCTGGTAACCTCCAGTGACCTCCCGTTGCTTTAAGTGACCTTCAATGTCTCCCGGTTACCCCTGATGACCTCCGATAAATCTCGATGACCCCTCCTGGCCAGTGGTGACCTCTGATGACCCCCGGTGGCCTGTCACCAGTGTGGAGTACCGGCCAAGTCGGGCATCTCTGGAGTGGTGCTGGTGGTGGTGCCCAATGTGATGGGCATCGCACTCTATTCGCCTCCTCTGGACGCCTCGGGCAACTCGGTTCGTGGCGTGCGCTTCTGCAAGGTATGCCGACGCTAGCGTCACCTATAACACCGGCTCTAGATTTATTTCTCAAAGATGACCAAAGATGGCGCCCAGGCTGCAGCTATCGAATGTGCGGGAGGTGCGGCCCCATCATCATAATTCATAAGAACAGCAGTTTGAGCAAGACTAAACTTTTGTTAAGCCATCTTGAGTGTCCATTTTCAGTGCGAATACAATTGCGGGAAACTGTACTAATCGCATTAGATTCGTGTGTACGAGAGTTTGAATATTTATAGGCAATATTTCCGCATTCCACACGACAATCTGCGGCAGGCTCTTGGTACTAAATAAGCATCACTCAACTATTTAACTGCTACAGCCGTTGCTTTGCACTTATAATTAGCCAATGACGCTGTGTTATCCAAATGCTTTCCTGGGGTGGTTCCATTTGCACGAATTTAATATCGCCACAAAAACCTATATTTGGTAAGTTTATTAGTTGTTATCCCTTAGCGGAGTTTGATTATGCGAGTTATTTAGCCGCGGACCTTGTGAGAGAAGGAGTGGGACGCAATTACTAAGCCCATGCAATTTTCAGGAGCTGGTGGAGCATTTCAACTTTCACCAGTTCGACAACGACGCCAGCGATGGGGAGAAGTTGGACCCTCGCACGACGCTGGCCGAGAAGAGGGCAGACTTGGTGCAGAGGCTGATGTTCGCTGCCTCGGCTGGAGACACCACTGCCCTCAGACGCTTCAGGTCGGCGAGCGGGGGTCACCGGGTGGTGTGGTGACGTCATGGCAGGTCACAAATTGTTAACTTGCCGGGTTACAGTTGTTTTGATGACTTAAGACCAGGGACAGAAACCCCACGATGTCTTGACAACTGCAGGCGAGTGAGCTGAGTCAAGTTATTGGGGACCCCAGCCAGCTCAGATAGATTTGAGCATTCATGTCAAAGCTTTCAGGCTCTTCTGGATGGCTCAAGCGGTCACCGAATGGTGCCTTTAGATTACCTTATGAGGTGGCACAAATGACGTATGCCAGCTCATACCACGCCTCAGCGTAATTCAGTTCCGCGGGTCACTGCAATTTGATGTAGAACGGAGGGACACCTTGCTGTCCTCGGATACGTGTGATCGTCTCAAAAAGTAAAATATTTGCCAACGAGGTCGGTCGTTTCGCATCAAACGAGCAGCAACGGTTGACCTCGGTGACCCGGGATGAACTCGAACGAGCCGGAGTGAAGCGTGAAAACTCGCCGGATTGACGAACAGCGTATTAGTTGTCCAACCCAGAGACAAATGCCTCGACTCTCTATCGAAGTTTCATCTTATCAGTTGGAAGTCTTCTTTGCCGTAGCAGCTGAGCACAGAAACAAGTGTGAGGCCGGTGGCAGTTATCCACTACATAACGTGGCACGTAACCAGGTCGTATTATGTCTTGGCATTAACACTTTATTCTTAGGCACCTTCAAAAAGGCAAGTGGCTGGCATCGTGTTTGCCCACATAGATAGCAAAAACACACGTGCAGGAGATGGACGATGACGTCGCGGGACAAAACGTACGAATTGATGTAAGAAAGCAATTGTAATGTCATAACATCGCTTAATGGACTGCTGGAAACTGACCTAAACGTGACCGAAGTCGGGCCTGCGAGTCACGGAAGTCGATAGCCCTATCAAGCTCCGTGGACTTGACAACTCGCATCACTGTCTATAAACCTACAAGACCCATGCACAACGTGGGCGTAATTGCCCGAGGTCTGATATGGCTGTCTATCTACCGAGAGACCTGTGTTCGATTCCCACCGCACGAAACTTTCATCGGTTCCACGCACGAGGTTCGTGGCGCCTGTGCTGAGTCCATTATGGAATTACCTTATGACTGGTGCATCAGTTTTATCATAAGTCATGCTGCCCCTCATAACAATGGCGGCTGAGTATTTTCGTTCTAACATTGCTTGTTACTGTAAAGCGAACTGCCATTATGACGATAATCGCAAGAGACGCTGACATTACTGATCATTATGATCACCATTGCCAGTGTATCGATCTCGGTTTGTGCTTGTCAGACTGCTGGAGATAGACCTGAGCGTAACTGACTACGACGAGCGAACTGCGCTGCATCTGGCCGCGGCCGAAGGCAGGCTCAAGGCGGTCAAGTTCCTGCTCGACACCTGCCAACAGAAGGTGGACCCCAAGGTAGCGCTGTGGGCCCTGCGCAGTACGTGGTAGCCCCGTCATGGAGTTTGGTTAGGACCCGAGCTATCTGCGGCACGGTTATTATTTTATTTTTAAGCCATTTTGGTGGGTGTGGAAATCGTCTTCACACGTCTGCACGACACTGGTGGTGACGGATTTGCTTCCATCAAATAATTTCATGACCCTCGTTGTGGTTAGTTAGCGACCGCTGCACCAAACACCCCTTTGACTTAAGTATAGCTCTGCACAAGTATCACAGCTGCTCTGTGGTAGCTGCAGTACTTATGGGAGCACTACTACTGGCACGTTTCTGAGCATGTGACACAGCAGCTGCGGTGAGAGTGGTGTAACGCACGTCCACTCCGCCTGGAGCGGGATCCCAGTCATCCGGACCTGAGGGAAGGTCAGGCAGGTCGGAGGAGGCCCGACACGTTACCATCCCGTGATTTAATGGGAGGGGAACGTTCTTAATGGGAAGAACGCCACTTCCAGAATGTTTAATGAGTTTAACAAGAGCATGCCGATGAAACGGAGTTTAACAAAAGCATGCTGATGAAACAGAGTTTAACAAGAGCATGCCAATGAAACATCCCGGACTGGCCGAGGTAACATTTGCTTTATGTGCTGAACATGTTGATGCCATAATTAAGCCTTTCACTGGAAGCAGTCTTTCGAGAGCGTTACACCCCAGCCAGAGGACAAACTGGCGTTTGCATTGTTAACTGCTCTGCCCCTATCACTTATTACTGCTCTGCGGCAAACCGCTTCACATTTGCGTCGTTTGTTCGTGTTCGAAGCTTACTGCAACGTCTTGTCATCGCACAGTGATCAGACTGTCTCGCCAGGCCGCTTCAGGCCGAGTGGTGCGGTTCAGGACCGGTGTCGGTGGTGTGGTTCCAGGACCGCTGGGGACGAACGCCTCTGGACGACGCCATCTACAGCGGAAAAACAGAGGTCGTCCGCGTGCTTCTGAAGCGATACAAAAAGCTGGACCTGCCGCACCCGATGCTTACCGCGGCAGCCGGCACTGCGACCGCCGTGGAGTCCCCCCTGAATGTGCTGGTCGCGCTGCAGGAAGCATATCTCCAGCCGCAGCAGACCGGCGGTCCAGGCGGCCGCGAGGGAGAACGCGCCGGTGTCGGCACGGAGAACCGCGCCGGTGACGTCACCAGCTCCGGCATCCACCAATCACAGGCCGATCCTGAGCACCGGGCTGCCTCTGCCATCCTACCAGCGGCAGCGCGCCCCCACCAGCCGACAATCGCAACGGAAATGGGGGTGGAGCGTGCGGCAAAGCACCCCACCGGAGACGTGCCCGACTTGACCCCCCAGCAGGCTCCGTCTGAGCGCCCTGATGACCCGGTGCCGGCGTCCGGGGACACCGGCCGGCTTGTGACCGAGACCGCGGTGGCTACAGACGGCGGCCATTCCCCGAGGGCAGAGCGCTGAGGAGGGCTCAAATAGAGACCATCCGCAAGCGTTGGCGTCACCTCCTGAAGCAGCAGCTTGAGCAACAGATGAGCGGCGTCACCAGCTGAAGCAACAGCTTGAGCAACAGCTGAACGGCGTCACCAGCTGAACATCGTCAAACAGCTGAGCAGCCTCAGCGTAACGGCGAGGGCACCGGATCCGCAGCGCTTTTTTCGTGAACGGAATGTAGCTGGGAACGTGACAGAGAACGTTTTGGAACTTGTGGGAAAACGTTAAGAGTTGTATTATCCTGTGGAAGATACTGGAAATTTTCTGTCCCGAGTTCTGAACTGTTGTGTGCTTGGTCGAAACAATTAGGCAGTTTTTCTTTGAACCTCCCACAGAAGTGAAAGGTGAATGGCACTGGAAGGGGTCTCAGCCCCTTTGCTGAAGGCAACACTCGGCCTGACCTAAGGGAGCTCACCTTTCCGGACCTAAGAGAGCTCACCTTTCCGGACCTAAGAGGGCTGCGCCCTTCTTGCCTGTAGATCTGACTGCGTCCGACAAAAGGGATCGCCATGGCTGGACCGCGAGGGTAAGCCCGCGCCTTAGTCGCGGCGTTCTTGAAGAAGAACTTGCTGCTGCTGATCTGTGGACTCGTCAGACCTCTGTGGAAGACAGGTCGGCTGCAGGCACGGCTTCGTAATGTGCACTCGCAATATAATGACGAGCTTGTCATGTCCCCTGCTGCTGGGTAGTCTTAATGTCACATTTCGACGCTTTACGCGGAACACCACCAACTTTCAACATGTGAAAGTGCCGACTAAAACAAGATGTCGAGCAATGACGGCCCAATGAGTCCGTGATTACGAATATGCATGACTACTGATATAGTTCAAAAAATATTTCGTGAAATGGTCATTGCTCATTCTGGGGATTGGTGTTCACAAATTTTCAATAAAGTCGAAATAAGAGAAAGGCATCTAACTTACATCAAGTACGCCTTATTCACTATTCTGTTAGTTGAATCGTCCGACGCAGTCAAATTGAAGCTGTCTGCTAACAGCCAACATTCCTCCCGGTCTCTGAAATGGACCGAACGGATCCTTGGGCACCGCAAGTGTCCCGCCCGCGGCTTTTAGCAGTCTGAATTTAATGTTCCACCCTTGCGGCCTGATGGAATTGGAGTGCTGTAGACGGGACGTAGAAAAGAATGCCACCATAATGGGCTGATCGGGCGAGTTCACTTTCCGAGTAGGAAGTGTCTTTGGGATGTTAACAATGGGGCCTGACTGGATGAAATCATCAGAGGGAAATAATAAAGACAACCGGCAGTCCGGTTATCTGCCTAGTTTAGGCGAGTCCACCACAGAGGGGCGAAAAAGAAGGTAGGAAAGCTGGCCAGCTGATCATCTGGAAGCATCGGACGAGTCCACAGCAGACGAGCGGAGGGGAATGCTCACCAGCTGATCATTTGGCAAGGATGGGCGAGCCCACTGATGGTGCGTGGGGAAGAAAGCATACCAGCTGATCACCAAGCGATGGCGTCCTCCTAAAGCCGTAAACTAACACATAAACGCAATGATTGATCTGGTTCATACACGACGTTCGCTTATGGATTAACGAAATCGGCCGTATATCTCACTGACCCACCAGAAGCGTGCTGCAGAGAACTGCGTATAGGCTTCCAGCTGAAGGCAAAACCTCGCGATGGAAGCGAGGGATGTACTCGCTTTGTGCAGAGAAAGAGCGAGCAATCACATGTTTATAGTGGCATGTCATGATGTTCAAGTATATGCTGTGCTTGACATAGCTAATGTCGTTATATGTCATGCTTTTTCCGGCGCGGAAGTGAAATATATGAAGCCTACTGCTGTGCCCACTGCTTGCCTATTCCTTGTACAACCTATTACGTTCCGGGAGCTATATTTGATGGATATGTTACACAGACATAATATATTTATACATATACGCATATGCGTACATATATATGTATATATATATATATATATATATATATATATATATATATATATATATATATATATGTGTGTGTGTGTGTGTGTGTGGGTGTGGGTGTGGGTGTGGGTGTGGGTGTACATATGCTATATATATTCATATCTGTTTGTATAGAGGTACTACCATCTTCCCGACGTATTGACTTAGTGGTGACAGTTTAACCAATCATAACATTAAGCTCGCTCGGAGGAAAATCATCTTGCAAACGGAGGTCATGATTGACGTAGCGTCGGCACAAGCTGTGTCGTTCTCGTTGCCCAATGAGATGGAGCGCGTGCTTTTCCTTGGACCCCATGCACCTAACAATACACACATCGCGAGTCTTGGCATTTGTGGTCGGTTGCGCGCCATCTATAGCCAGACGGATTCGCCCGGGCTTACGTGCGGCATACAACCACCTTATCCACCTTTCCTATCCTTGACCAGCCTGTGAATGGGGCCTTTCGTTTCTTCTATGATCGCTTATGCATAAGCTGGCCTCGCTGCGATTACCTTCCCACACGCTGGTGAGTGGAATGCAACTTAGTTACTTGCTCAGATTTCGTGCCTCTATAGGAGCTTCGTCTCCGCTATTATGAGACCCCCGGCTGGTGCGGGGGTAAAACATCATTCAGTTCACCTCACCGTCATGCCATTTGAGCGCGGTCAAATGTCTGAAGCGTGCCGGCCGATAAGTAAATTGTATGGGCTGACGGTCACTGAAGTAATTGTCCGTGGATTACGCAGCGGACGTATCAAGCAGAAGACTTCGACAGGTTAGGGACCGACAAAAGTTGCCACATCTAAGGTGAAGACGTTATGCCAGAGTAAAGATGAACATTGAATACTTTATAAGGTGCTCACAAAGCAGATTATTCTAGCAAAAATGCGAGCAAGTTGCCGCCTGCTTCATCTTTCAACGTGCACTATGACATTTCAGCTTCACTTCAGCTTGCACTATGCTTGCACGTGAATGAAGACTCGGGACGTGTTGACACTGCGAGGTACTAATAAACAGCAAATGCTGTGAAAACTGCTTTGGTGACATATTTGGGCAGAACATTCTGCATATAAACACCGAATGGCTGACGGTACCGCTGCAGACCAAACTTACCAATCTGCAGCCCACTTTTGCACGCCTGATAACCTCGAGCACGATGTCTGAAGCGTTGAACCAAACTCGCACAAGTACTAAGGGTACTTTGGACCGTGCATTGCTTACACACTGTATTTCGCAACATTGTTAGCGTCGTCCTCATCCTGCAACGCCATTTTAGGTTTAGTTTCTATCTCCTCAGCGTCGTCATCGCTCAATCACGACCCTTGCCCTTCCACCGTTACGTAATTTATGGACGCGCCCCGCACGCGTAAAATCTGTAGGCGCCGCATCAGCCATTGGTTGGTCCGGAATCTAACCGCGCGGATGTCGTCAGCTACAATTCCCGCCGCGGTGTCGACCTTGCCGGGGGTCACGTGCAGAAGTCATCGTCGTGCCTCCAGCAGCCGGAGTGCGTGACGTCACTGGCTCACAATGAATCGTTGGTGGCACGCCTCTGTGCCCAGAGCTGGGAGGCAAATAGATCTGCCAGCCCAATGAACCTCTTCTACACAATTGATTGGTCACGGATTATTGCGAGACGGTACTAGGTTACGTAACCTAAGGAGCGCTCATGAACAGGTGACCATAGTATTTCATGGATTACACATGAACAGGTGACAATAGTTTTTTTCAAGGATTACACAGGAACAGGTACCAATAACATTCCATAGAGCGCACGTTAACAGCTGTCGATAGCATTCCATGGAGTACACATGAAAAATGTGAGCACTCATGGACACATGCAGTGGTATATAGGATAATGTCACCCCTCCACGCATTTATTTGCACGAGCGGCAAATGACACCCATTTGGACTCATGACCTGCCGCCCTAATGACCAGCGTCGTTGGAACGCGCCCCCATACTAGTGAGTGCTGAACTTTTTCATTTATACTGAGCCACTTTGGCTAAAAGAAAAACTTTCATGCAGCTTATACAAACACACACACACACACACACACACACACACACACACACACACACACACACACACACACACACACACACACACACACACACACACACACACACACACACACACACACACACACACACACACACACACACACACACACACACACACACACACACACACACACACATATATATATATATATATATATATATATATATATATATATATATATATATATATATATATATAATAAACACAAATATTTGTGAGATATTTTCACACCGATATTTTATTTTCAGTAGCACAAATATGTGCTGCTGAAAACAATCTTTACTTAGATGTTTACCAATTGGCCACATATTCGCATTTTTTATTTGCTACCTCGCGCTGTGCTAGGAGCTCCCCATTTAGGTACAATAATTTGCTAGCTTCTGTCTGAATGCAAGAGGATAGGACTACATGTTACCACATCTACACATCTACCGCACCGCATCTGCTAGATTGCTTTGCCACATGCCGCTATTCCCACGAGGAAGCGCTTTGGTAAATAGCATAGCGTTACATGCGAAGGTAATGCGCAAAAAAATGACAAAATTCCTGCAGATTTGATTTGCTGAGCGTTTTTGAAGAATATTTTTCTCTTCATCTCAGGAAACATTCAAGTAAAATATTACATATCCACGAGTTGTCTTTTGGCAACTTTCCAATCATGGCATATGCATGCACTTGGTTTGCCAAGTGTGGGGGGGGGGGGGAGGCTGAAGAAGGAACCTTTTCTACGGTCGTCAAAACGGTGTTCGTATTGTGGAGCCTTGTCAGTGATATCCCGATGTAAAGGATGCGACAAACAGCCGCGGCCTTGCTCCGAACCGCGCCATCATCCAGCAAACCACCGGCGATTATTGAAACGGAGAGTCACGCTCAATAATCAACATAACAGATGAGCCTGCATTGTGCCTCCAGTGCATTGTGCCCTGGGAAGTGGCGCAAGGTAGACGAAGTGGCGCGGTCCGGAGCTGCACCGGCAAGGGGGAGACGAGCGTTATGGTCTCAGGTCTCTTATGGTCTCTTATGGACTCAGCGTTATGGTCTCTCTCGGCGTCTTTGGACTCTTTCCATTTATCACTGTGAACAGTTGGTCGCAACATTCCTTGCCTTTGCTCATTTTCTTCGCATGTTATTCTCTCATATTCCTATGCTCTCTCCTCTCCCCATGCTCTCTCCTTTCTTCATGCTCTCTCCACTCCCCATGCACTTTCCTCTCCTCATGCTCTCTCCTCTCCCCCATGCTCTCTCCCACCCCTCGCTCTTCCGCGCCTCCTTTATCCCCTCCTCCCCTCTCCCCTTTGCCGTGCCGCCCCTCTCTCCCGCGGCGGTGGCATGGCCCCCCGCCGGCTGGGGCGACTCAAGGCCGCGGGAGGTTTCTTATGGGCCTGGGTCGGACTCGGTCAGCATCAGTGCCACACAGAACCGGATGCCAACAACATGGTAAGCGCCCGCTGTTGCCTCCGTGGCAGCGCTGCCAACCTCCCTGTGCTGCCCTAGCGTCGCCAAGGGGTTGTTACATTCCGCACGTTAATGGGCTATTCACACCCTGAGCAGTCACGCGTGGAATCCCGTAGCTCTGTGCTGATTGGTCTGTTTTGTGCACTGGCAGCACTGATACTGACCTGCTTAAGTCAGCTCTTGCAGATGGATGGTCCTGAATGGTGGCGTACCGAAGAACCTGTTTGCTGATACATTGTGTAATTATTTTTTTCATTTCTTCGTCCGTAGTGCGGACTTAGGGTAGACAGTCGTGAGCATTCTTATACGGCATGTAGCGTTCGAAGGGCATTTATATCAGTGTTTGCCTGCTACTGCTACTTAT